CGCGGCACGACGACCACCACCCTTTAATTTGCCAAAATAAAGTAGTGACTAGACATAGCAATGTAGCCCATGATTATAATAAACATGAATGTTTTGATTACATTTAATGTAAGAAGTGACGTAGTTGTCCCAGGTGTTGAAAACACGCGCCATCAGTTTGACGACGGATCTTTATTGATACAATATTATACCGGCTGTACCTTTGATAAGCTCCCAATTATTGTTTCAGTAAATTCACAAAACAATGTTGTACGCTGCTCATGTTGAACTGTCGAGCTGAATCGATTTCCGCTGTAAATAATACCGTGCTTTGTGAGTCGCCGGTTCTAAAATCTTGTTTCATGGTCTTTAAGTTACATTTTTACAAGCTTGACGAATGTGTTCAGTGAAATGCCAACGGGCACTTTTAATTTGATTTCTTTGCCCTTTACAACGCTGAGTTAATTTATTCAAATACTCTGAAAACATTGACGTGCGTCTCTCAACATGGCTGGCAGATTTAATTATTTTCCACAACAAACTGCGTTTGTTTTCAACACTTTTCTCTTTTTTCACCGTTCTGAACCAATGCTTTCTGTTTAGTTTTTCGGAATCGACGCACGCTTCGTTTTTGTGGGAATCTCCCCTTTCCGTTTACTAGTTTACGGTCAATGCATGTACGATAGGATGATTAAATAGTAACAAACGCGTTTAAACTTCTCCTCTTTCTTCGATTTCCTTAAATAGGTATCGTGTTCCACCATGTTTGTATTATTTTAATTTACTAGTAACACTCAACGCTGACAGCTGAGCAGGTGTTTGTTTTCTATCACCTTACCATCATTCGTACGCGATCATTTGGTAACCTTGGTAACAGTAACTAGTACTCTGACTACTGTTTATATCCAGATCGTTAAATTTAGATCCGCCCATGCTACACTCCAAATTCCTGGATGCTAGAATTGATCCTTGCTTATACGTACATCAATATGTTGTCTTGACAGTTTTAGGACACCGTTAACAACCGGACGGGTGTCGAATACAAAAATTAAATCGTAGTTTCTCTATCATATAACATTTCGTGTTGCGTTCTCTTTGAAATAATTTAAAGACGACATGACTGCTATACACTGTTTTGAATGTTTTGGTCTTATGTGCTAATTGTTAGTCTATATGTTCGAACTGGCCTCCGAGCAGTAGATATTTTTCAGTTCAATGTTGTATGTAATTAAGTCGTCTGGTTAATATTACGAGTATTTTGCAGGATTGTATTTTATGTAAAGATACATCTGTTGTTAAAGGGCGGTGGTAGTCGCACTGCGCACGTCCGACATTTGTGCACTCTTCCAATGAAAATCCAAAGTATGAGATTTGACCTGGGCGCGACTTGCATTACTTCCGCCGGTGACTTCGTCGATACTTTCCAACCATCTAAAAAAATACCTAATTAAAGCTCGGCTACGTCTCAGTTGGAACTCGTTGATCTGTGCAACAGTCAAAGTCGCCATCTTTGTTTTTATGAGACCCATATATCTCGCGCATGCATGGCGCGACGACTACCACCCTTCAAATATGTGTAGATGTCATAATGTTGCCAACGACAGTCCTATATGTCTGGCACCCTGATCATAACATCGTCGCGTATTATATTTAGTAATGTGTTCTGCATATCGTGCAAGTGAAGTTAACAATGGTTTTAGCTCACGTGCACAGTTTACGTGAAAGACAATTTGTAAAATTGTATCTGCTTTGAAAATCAAACCAATTGTTAAACTAGAACAAATCTATATAACAAGACTTTCTAAGTGAAATGTGATTTTTTTTAGGGTTAACTCTAGCATTTTGAAATAATTCGCCACAACTTTAGTTCTGACAAGCTGTGCACGATACATGATACATACATGATACATGGAGTTTGATAATTAAATTTATTAGACACAACACACAACAAACTTCCGTCATTAGAGATGCAATTCTTATACATCTGTTTTTGTTACATAATTTGATATTGTTTGAATTTCAAGTTGAACTCTACATTATTCCTTGTTGCAGTGTGGAAATGAGGCTAACGATATCTCCACCTCGTACATATTTCGCATTTTCCTAACGTTCCGTTAACGCTATCGGGCAAGTGTAACAGATACAAACACAAGTGTCTTAAAGTCTTATTAAGTTCCATTAGATGACGTAATAACTGTATTTTGATATGAATATTTCAGTCTAGACACTGGGCCTAGCAATTATTTCAATATCAGTACACCCACGTGGTCTGTTTCTGATAGCGTGTATCCCAATGGGAAAATCACGATTTAATGGACGTTTACTTCAGGGAAGGACGTAAACGATGTTTGACATAAAACAAACTATGTCCGGCCTAATTGTTTGCTTCCCCCGGTAATTGTATTTATTACCACAGTCTCTGTGTTTATACGAGAACACGCACTACCGAACCATGGCACATTCATCGTCGAAGACGGTGTTTTTTGTAGTACGAGATACAAGTACTGGCTCGGAACGATATGCCTGATTGATAGGATTAGAAGCTTAGAGGCATGGTATTCCTTGTGGTGCCATTTTGCGTTTTTAACTTGGTTGATATCCACGTATTATGAATCATGTCGGTGACGCGAGTGAACATAAATATGTTTCGTAGTTTTAAACTATGTGCCACCTTGTAATGCAATCAGAATAAAATCCCGTGTAGGTATAGGCTCAACTGTGGTTATTTGTTCGTTTGTTTCCATTTTTTATGAATACAATATATGAAAAACTGAAAAACAAGCAAAGCAGAAATAGAATAAAATAGAAAAAATAAAATATAGAAAATGAAACCAAAATCATTAAGCCTATACCCACATCGGATTTTAAACAGAATGCTCATAATTGTGATATTCAGACTAATTGTGTTTTTCTTTGATGATTATTGATCCATTTGTTTGTTTAGTTTGTAACCGTTTTGAATCAGAGATCACCAATTATACAAACATGAGATGCATACAATGTTATTTCTGTAAATTAAAGAAAATAGAAAACAAGTTGCTACCTGAATGCCTCTGTATTAGGAATTTTCAGAATATCTCCTCATTACAATATACTCACCACATTGATGTTTGTTATAGTTTTTGCTGTAATTTACAGAATCATTAATCTCTTCACCACGGAGTCTATTTTCGATAAGCTTTACAATGTCATAAGCTGCTGTCACGTTGTTTCTACCTATGTAACACCCATGCTCAGTATCAGTATTGATTTCACATCGTTGGCTAACTTGATCCAGTTTGTATATCATTATTGTGATATGTGTTTGTATGTAAACGTATATATTTGTAGTCTAATGATACATGTATTCTGATAAGCTGAGCATAAAACAACAACACCAGGTTCAGAGTAGTCAAAATATTTACCACTTTAGCACTAGTAGCTTCGTGGTGAGTGGCTTTTGTGGTAAGTGGGTTTCGTATCTGGTGGATTTCGCGGGGAGTAGGGCTTTGTCTCAGTTACTGGTCCTTTCATCCTTGTTGAGAATTAAAGTTTTATGTTTCTTTAACAATTGGCACCATTCTTGGAATACCATCCTGGCAGGAGTTCCAAAATAAGACCCATGCTCTGATAATGCCTCTAGTTTCAAAGGGAAATAAACATTACCATTATGATCTTATTGGTGTTGCAAAGGATAGTTGAATATTGTTTATTGAAATTAATAATCCCCATAACCGTTTTCCAATATAGATAAATTGTAGTACGTAACAAACTGTATAACTCAGTCTCAACAATGAAATGAAGGAATGTATATATATATATTTACATTATTACTAATTCATTGCAATACAACTAATTCAAATTGAAAGAAATTGCAATATAAAATATTCCACCAGTAAACTTGCTTGGCAATACCCACCCCAATTAGATATAATGTGTACATATTTTAATAAATAAAGATTATTTCATATTTTATTATATAACCTGCACAAAAATAATCAATACGTTCTTTGCTAGAATGATGTGTAACTTCATACGGGAATCCTGATAAAGTTCACAACTGCTGATTCAGCAATATTAGGGGTCGTCAACTTCCTGTGAATTTGATTACCTAACGTTTTTAGGTTCATGTGCTGCAAGTTACAGAGCACGTACCTACGCGGCCGCCCCAGCAAATAATTAAGCTAAGGCGTTTTCGATATTGAAATCAGGAAACTCTCCGTTTTTACACAATCTGGGAAGTTCGAATTACTAAATGAAGTACAGGACGACGAAGCTGAAATATCCAAGAAGCAACACATACCAAAAATCTGTGTGTATTTTAAGTCTAATTTGTTAGTACTCCGAATATCCAAACATATTGTAGTATAAGTTAGTAATTACTGGGGGCCAACATAAAAACTAGATACAATGAACGAAACAGTACAAGTCATTAAACTTGGCCAGTGTTTCATCATTGATGTCACGTGATCTGCACACAATGCTTTATGAGATAAAAGCTCTTGATGAGAAAAAAGACGTTCACAATGTTTTAGAACGTTTATATAAATTCTTAGAACAGTTTATAAGATTTTAGATCGGAGTTTTACGTTAGATAAAATATGGTAACATGTACACCAACAGTCATATCGAAGCAATGTTAATGCAGCAAATTCAGTTAGCAGTGACTCCGTAATATGTAACATAGCCACAGAAATTATTCTTTATGTTATTATTAGTATATAGATAACAGATAAATATGTAATAACACGAACACACAGATATGTACTACTAGTTGCAGAGAACTATTTGTAGAACGATGGACAGTGAAAGTGCAGTACAAACCAGTAAATCAAAACACTGACGCCATTTGGCTGGAAATGTGGTATGTTCATCAGTTGGTTTCCGACTCTAACGAGAATGGATCTGATTAATTGCCGCATTGTTTGTATTTGCTACCATGGGGAAAACAGAGAGGGCAGTACTAACCCAGCGTGAAGCTCGTGGGAAAACGTGTCAGAATAGATATAATAATTGTAGCATTGTTTTATTTGTCATTACAGGTCAGAGAGAAACACAAAAGAGAGGTCAGTACTACCTCAGCGTGGGGATCTTGGGGAGAATTTTCAGAGTGCAGTAGAACTTGTGGGGGCGGTGTTTCCGAACAAACTCGACCGTGTCTGAGACGACGAGTTGGTTCGAGGTAAGAAATAACGAACAATATTTTGAACATAATTTTGAACGAAATATACACTTTTTAATATTTGTTTCCATGGACAAAGTATACAAAAACATCATTTTAAACTTATATTACAAAATCAGTTAAACTGCGGTGTACCGAGCCATTGGCGCGTCATATTCCTACTAAATAATTGCGGTGTACCGAGCCATTGGCGCGTCATATTCCTACTAAATATACATTGCTACGGTATCTATGTTAATATATGTATGATTCACATTTTTCTACAACACATAGCTGGATGTACGCACAAATTATTATTTAATATGAAAATTACAGAAGACGTAATTTGAATTTTATTATCAAGAACATTTTACAAATTGTTGACAACTCTCTTCAAAGACACAATTATGTTAACCATTTTGCGGGTGTAATGGGCAATAAAGTACTTAAACAAATAACTTCAATCTGTGCAAATTGATGGGAATTTCCGATACGAAGTTTGCTGCACATACAATTATAATAACCAAAATAATGACGTTTTAGCAACAGTTAAACCTATAGAAATCGCACCTGATTCATGTACATATCATAGTGATCTACATGTACATATTGCATTCAACTACACATCACCTTCTTAGCTCATTTAATAGAGTAACCATGCATCCATACGACTCGTTGGTCTGAAACTCTCGGTTCTATCAAATCCAGGGAGTTACTTATTTAGATCACGCGATAACAAGATCTTCTGAAAAAAACACTCCTATTAGTAAACAGGTATTGTTGAAAACAAGGAAAGAGTACTTGTAAATGCTGAACGAAGGTTAACGACATGTTTTACACAAGAAAAAGAAAACTTTGACTGTTCGGCGCTCCGAACTGCATCAACACAACAGGAATAAAAATAATAACCGATATACTTCATCGAGGAGTATTTTTCGATTTCCAAAATAGTTAGTCGAAACTCGTTGGTGTATTCCGTTGAATGTCATACATTGTAAATATATCAGATGTCGGGGGGGGGGACAGTTTTTATCTATGGCATGATAACCTTTTCCTTATTCCCCAAATTTAACTCATCGATTACCGATTAATTGTTCTGACCCTTCTCAAAACATTGATACAAAACAACCTATAGTATTGCCTCCGTAGCAATTGAACTTAGCAACATAACTAAGACATTTACGTTCAATGATTTTAGACTGGTATAGCTAATACCATCGTGCATACTTCAGATGGTATATAACTATTGATTTCTCATCTCAAGTTATTGGAACCACTGTTATCATTGTGTGCATCTTTTTACATTACCCAATTCCCTTCATTTTAAAATATTTATTGTTTTCACGTCAGGTTTTTCAGTGTAGGAGAGCATTGGAACTGTGTTGGGTTATTTAAAAAACACAAATCTTGTAATCCAGAGGTAAGTCAAATGACATCAATCAAATTGTAATATAAGACGATTTTGTGAACAAATGTGAAATCGAATGATTCAAATTTATACTACTATCGACACAACAAACCCATTCCCTTAATTTTTATGAATGAATTCATTATTTCATAGCAATTGAATTCAACAAGCCCAACGACTGAGGTCATTTGAAAATGGTCCATTAATCACTAGAAACCTTCGTTTCAGTTTCAATTGTAAATTATGTAAATATTCATAAAAATCAAGGGAATAGGTATAGTAGTGTTAGAATGGAGAGAGGAGCTCCAGTCTAGATAACCTAATCATTTCATTTAGATTTCAAAGAGACTGATTTCAAATAAAAATTAACAGTTGGATTTAAAAAATGTTACAAGTATGTTTACAAGACTGATTTTGAATGAAAACATTTGGGTTTATATATTGTTATAAGTATTTACATTGTCTTAAATAACTCCTGTGTGTCAAAAGCAGGCCATCAGATGAAAGACACGTCCCATGGGGGCCATACGTCTTAATTTGTCTCTTGTAGAATGTTAATCTGTAAATGTTATTGTAAAATGGCGACCACCTTGACGGTTTTATTATGATATTTATTTGAATGAGACCACATACAAAGACGACTTCGTAGACACCAACCGCGTAGCTTATTACACTTGGTTGTATTTAGGTCCATGTAGGTTAGAATTGAAATAGAATGTTCGTTGTTGTCTGTGATTAAAACTGTATTATTCTTTTTTCTATGTACATTCTGCGATGTCAAGTTTAAATATGCTAGAGTAGTCGTGAATTATATAACATGTAAACAAACAAACAAACGTAATATTTTATTATTTATAATATGCTGTTTAAATTGATATGTAACTGTTTGCGTGTGATATCAGTTAAAGTTGAACAATTTTCTGTTTTGAAGTACAATACTATATTTCGAAAAATAGTGATAGATAATATGCAAGCATAAGTTCCTATAAAAATATATGTGTTAATGTTGTTGATCAACATAAGGAAATTTGCAAAAATCATGGGTATTTTCACTTAAGATTGGGCTTTTTGTTTCAGTTGGTGTTACTGAATAATTTGATTGAATTCTTTATATATTTTAAGCCCTGTCCGGGAGATAGTAAAGACTTCCGGCAAATACAATGTGAAGCCTTCAATGACACGCCGTTTATGGGGAGAATATACGAATGGGAACCTTTTTTGAAAGGTGAGTTGCAGTTTTACTTTCGACAGCACAGGGAAATTGAAGAAGTTAAATGAAAATGCGATTTCTTCTTGAACATATTTGCATAAATATCTCTCTCTTTCGCTGCAAGTCTGTGGTGACATAGCTTGTTTAAACAATGTATGCGCATGTCACATCGGCCTTCTTGCCACAGTCATGTAATACACCAAGGAAAGGAAAATTGAGAAATGGGTTTCACTATTCGCCCAGCTAGGTAACAAAAACATAAACAAAATCACACAATTTAGATTATTCGTGAGTATTTCCCAGATTTTTGTTTGTTTGAGTATATTTCACCACTCTGTTGCCAACTCCATTAAAAGGGCGGTGGTCGTCGCGCCACGCATGTGCGAGATATATGGATCTCATACCCGCATATAAACAAAGATGGCGACTTTGACTGTTGCGCAGATCAACGAGTACAAACTGGGACGTTACCAAGCTTTAATTAGGTATTTTTTAGGTGATTGGAAGGTATGGTATGGAAGGAGTCACCGGCGGTAATTAGTGCATGTCACGCCCTGGTCAAACCTCATACTTGCGATTGCGATTGCCATTAAAAGAGCGCATTTAGATTGTGGGAAAATCAATGCTTATCAACACAGATGTCGCCCTTTAAGTCTACCCATGGAAGGTACTAACTTTAGTACCTTCCATGGTCTACCATAGAGCATTGCTAAGCAAATTTTGTGTGAAAAAATGTATTACTATATGGCCAGAAATGAATGCCTGTATCGGAAATTCAACCTTGAATGGAGCATGGAGTATCAGAGGCTGGGAACATGTTTTACATATTTATGATAGACATTCCAGATTGTTCAAATAAAAAAAAAATATGTAGATGGACTGGGAAAAAAACACTTTTTAATACCGAAATTGTGCTCAGTACCCACAATGCACCATACAGGAAGTTGTCAACTTTTAGGTTGAAAGTTGTGTTGTGTTGGGATGCGAGGAATATGAGCGTGCGATACTCGAAGGTAAATATTCATTATAGTAAACCTAGTGGTACATTTTGTATATTTAACATACCGGCATCAGTGGCCAGTCATGATCATGGCATGGAACGACCGACCAGTTGCCGGTTTCCGATGATTTTGAGAAACTGCACGTTTTTTTCCAGCGTATATTTGATTAGTTATTATAAATGTCAACTTAAATCATGTTATATTGTTGGAGTATTAGAAAAATTCAGCTATCTATGCTTTTTTCCTAAAGGCTTTTGGAATCGTGTTATTTTGTAATCGCCAGAGGGCGCCAAAGTATTACATGATATTCCCGTAATACCGGTACATTTGCATATTCGTCAGTGAAGGTTCGTTTATTTGGCCATCACATCATATTTACACCTTGGCAGAATTTATATGATCAACGTATATTTATGTAAGCCCCCTTTGGTGATACGAATCCAATCCAATCCAATCTATAGTCCAATCAAATTGCTTGTAAAACATATAGCTGTATCACAAACCAAATAGATCGTCTACAGTCGAAGATTTTCTTCTCAGCCAGAGATTGACCTGACATTTTTCAATATGTTACTTGATGGCTAAAATTCCAACTAATTAGATCAATTCACTTTATTAATTTCTTTTTCCATTTTTCAATATACTGTGGAATACTTTATTTTCGCTGGAATTAATTTTCGCTGAAAAGGTTTTTTGGGCGTTTTGTATGGAATTTATTTTCACTGATTTTTGATGAGTTTAATGTGAAATATGGGAAAAAAAGTATATTCGCTGGATTTTATTTTCACGGAATCATCCCTTCAGCGAAAATAGCGAAAATAAATTACAAGCGAAAATAAAGTATTCTACAGTACTACTCTTAAAAACGCAGCTATTAAATACGGACAATCATGAAATGCAGGTAATATTCGTGTGCATGCTGCAATGATGTGTCTCTGGGGTAAGAACTGTGAACTGATAAGACTTTAGAAGTTAAAACAATAATTTCAATATTTTGTCATAACTGACTTTTGCTTGAAGCAGAGTGTGACTGTGGCAAGAAGGCCGATGTAAAATAAAATAAAATAAAAAGGGAGTAAAATACCGCTCGTCTCGGTCAAACTCAATGTATGATGCTGCATATGTTCGGAAAACAGTTAAACAACAAGTATGGCTAAAATAAGATGAAATAACTTTCAGGGAGAATTATTAAACGTACTCATCAGAAAGAATTACTCCTCGTATGGTAGAAATACTTCTATATTGATTATAATAAGTGAGATTGGGTTTAAAAACTTGGAGAACAAGGTGAATAATGGCAGTAACTAAACTGACAACTGACGCGATGCTTATTTTGTAGCTATGCTTCGCGGAACGCCGTATGCGGTTGGACCCAGAGGATAAACTGTTTCACACCTAAAACAATAGTCGTTGCCAGACTGGTGATAGAGGGACTGTGATCAAAAGAACAAATTCATGGAATCAACTGTGGTGTCTGCCTCAAATACGCAATGCTTCAAGTGATGTCTACATTAATAGACATCACCAACAGTCCAATGCATTAGTGATTCTTCGTGTTGTCACATGTTACACCAACTTTGATTTTGCGCATGCTCTGTTGTGTTAAAAAAAAAGGACAGAACTTGTATTTTAGAAATGTATTTTTGTCTTCTTGCCATTTTATGGGCTCTTCATCACAGTTACATATCTCTTCATCTATTTTGGAAGTCTGAATATATTTGAAGCATAGTTAAAATGTAATCTATTCTACTTCTAAGCTCTTCTATTCTATTGTATTTTCTATTCTAAGCTTTTGCATTTTGTTGTTTTTTGCAGCACCAAACCCATGTGCATTAAATTGCCGTGCCAAAGATTTTCAGTTTTATGTAAAACTGGCAGAAAAAGTTATTGATGGAACTCAGTGTACACCTGGATCACAGGAAATCTGTGTCGATGGGCAATGCAAGGTAGGGTCTCATAGATATAACAGCCACTAATAGTATCAGGTCCAATTCTCATGGTATAACATTAAGGTAACATGCCAGGCAACAGCATTGGAAAAAGGATGGCTGTTTATCTCTCTATTTTTTTTGTAGACCTCCTACATGACTACATTATGAAAATTCAATATGCTATTCCGATGTGAGCCAGGTCTCAACATTCCTAAAATCTCACCCTATATATTTATTTTGCATAATCTTGCATATTTTGTTTTAACACTTTGAAATGTTACAGTAAACATTTGTCACCTTTCGCAAAATAATTTTCAATAATTTTTCAAATAAATTGATCAAGAACTGTAGCCAATTGGGATTTAAGATTATTTGTTTCTAAATCAGGCTGGAAAAGGGTTTTATTCCTGGTCATCACATCGGTCAGTTTGAAACATGCACCACACATTTGTTTGGCCATTTCATATACCAGTGAAGTGCACCACATACGGTAAAATGGGAAAGTGTTTGTTTTCCGTGTCAGAATGATTCATCGATCCAAATCAACCTTAATCCATAAGCTTAAACATTGAACATTCATCTTCATGTTATGGTATTGAATAATCTCAATACAATTCAAAAATCTAAAACCACAGCTTTTTTTGTAAAGATCAAAGCCATTTTTGTTGCCATTGTTAATGAAGAGACATATAAAAAAGTTACATCAAAATTTGAGAAAAAAGTATGGTACAGTGAACATAAGTTATGTGTGCTAAAACAATACACAGAAAATCCAAATCATTTGACAGTAGTGTGTTATCGCCTCAACATGAGAATTTAAAACTGGATAACAAGCATAACCAAGATAGTGATATAATGATAGTTATATGACAATACCCCATATTAATGACAACTGGAAATTTATTTTGAAAAAAACTACCCCGGTAGCTAAGAACATTTCGACCAATTTGAAAACCATTGCCAAATGCTCGTCCAGAAACATCCTTAGATGTCATGCACAATTAGCATATGATATGTAAATGTAGTTGTGTAAAATTATGACTTCACCTTCATGTCACTCATCTGTAGAGCTGGTTGATACTTGTGGCATTATGATCTGTTTGTGAATAATACTAACCCATGACATAACTTTTATCAACCAGCTATAAACAAATGATATCAGGTGATAACCTCATATTATTACAGCTTGTCAGTTATATAAAGTCAGTGTATTCTTCATAAATAACAATTCAGTTAACATAGTTTGTGGTTGTCTTTCTTGAGCAAGATGAGTGAGTTAATTTGAATCTACCGAACCATATAATTTTTTTAATCTACACAGGGATAAGAACATTTGATAATTTGTTTTTCTTAGTAAATTTGTACTTACATGTATTACATTTGATTGGTAAATTGTAAGATACATTAGAGCTACTGATTATGCCTGACATTTGTATAAAGTTTACAGTGAGAATCAGTATCAAGTCATGTATGCCGCATAAATGTTATCTTCTTTGTTTTCAAAACTGCTTTTTGCAATACGCCATGTATGTAAATGTGTCGAAATGGGCGTAGTGCGAGTGGTTAGTGCTAGTAGCACTAATCCGAAAAAGTACTAAATCTAGTGCTAAAATGCCACTAGATCTAGTGCTAAAATGTACATAGTGCGAGTGGCATTGATATCGCATTGTCAGCGACGTCGAATAATAGGAGGGGCATCCACTTCCATATGCAAACTACAAACAGTATAAAACATCGGCAATATACGCGAGATGTCCATAATAATACTTTCTTTATATTCTGTCATAAATTAGCCATCTGAAAATCGCCCTGGGGATTTCACGGCTGGTGGGCACTTATTTGGGGTTCAAAATTTCTTAAAATAATCATCAAATATTTTTGGGGACTTCCATTTTCATCATTGAAGTATCCAACTACACAGACTTTCAACACCGTCAGTTGGGCCACCCAAGACGAAAGAAACTATTGCAGAATTAACAATAATTAATAATAATTAATAATTCTTGTTGAATTAAAAAGTAGACCGCCTGAAATTTCATTACAATATCGCCCAGTGTCATTTTTCAAATACATTTGTTTTTATTTTATTTCAAATAAAAACGAACACAACTGCATTGCGTAGTAGCAAATGATTATGGTTGCGCAATCCGGTCATGCTGCGTTTCATAGTTGTTGAATATTATTCAGTACTGATTATAATAACACACAAAAAATAAATTCGTTGAATTGTTATGAAATTCAAATAAAATTCAACTTAGTTTCATCGTAAGCAAATGATTCCGATCGCATATAAATGCTCGATGCTGTAGGGTATCCGCCATGTTTTTTTTGCATGAGTTGAGCTCGAACTCCGCACAGTTCGATGCGCGTTACTTATCATCACTGCACAAAGCAGCTTTGCATAGAACTAATTTGCATATTCGAATATGTTCGAACTACAAGATGCTGGCGGTTAACAAAGTTATGCGAAAGTCACTTAGTTACTTTAATCACTTTAATAAGACGTTTCACGCCCTAACTCCGACTAAAATGTGCAGTTAATTAGATTAAAATATACATGACTTGCGTTAGAAAAGTACCATGCTTTTCTACATGCCAAAGTGTTAGTTTCTACTATAAATGACTAACTTTATTAACTTACTAGAACCTGTGTGTTCTATGGCTGTTAGACGCGCAAAATCGAACCTGTTCAAGCCAGAAAAAGTATTGAAATATTCACCAGAATACAAGATAAACGGAAATGTTAAGAAACTCCTTTCAGTGAAATTAGTTTTTAATGTTTCTTTCCCAACTATATACGTTAACAGAAAGTTTTTTCTCCCCAGTTTTAGTGTATCACGTGCGCCATTTCACTACAGTAACATTACCTTGCAAAACATAGTCCGTACGTTTTTACTTAAGTCTGACATTAATAAATAGTTCGGATGTCACATACGTTTTTTCCCACTTTTTGTAGTTCGGTTTCAAATGAAACAACCACGGAAAAATGGCCGTGCGTAGTGAGGTGATTGACTACAAAATTGAAGGCTGCCTGTGGCAGAGGCACTATT